CCGGGAGGGAATGCTGCCGGCCCGCGCCGGACAGTCGCCCCCGGGGAACTTAGCCCAGGGAATCCAACGCTTCTTTGCGGAAATCAAGCTGTCGAAACAAATTAGGCTGGAAAAAAAACAACCGGTGACAGATCTGCGTGGGGAGAGATAGTAAGTGCGGGCTTAGGCTACGCGGTCTGCTTGCCGAGTGCTAAGTAGAATAATGCACTCAGGTTAGAGCCCTCCTAGCTGGTACCCAGCAGCGATTTGGCCCAGGGCTAGGCTCCCGTGCCCCTGAGCTGACCTGCTTGTGCCTGAGGCTTATGCCACAGGACCACGATCCAACGAGGAAGGATGCCAGGCTCTCCACAAGCTAATGCTGGGTCATACCTGCCAGCTCCCTCATGTTTGCTTAGATACTTGAAGCTGAGGGTCAAAGCCCAGCCGAGTGTGCCAGCTGGTGAGGAATGCTTGCCCAGGACTTGAACCCCTGTGACACATGCCCTCAGGCCTGGGGACAGTGCAGCCTCCTCACCTGCTGGCGTGATGTTCCTTGCAAGCCAGAAAATAAAGGAGATGGCAGGACGTCCTAAAGGTGAGAAGGAAAGTGTGTGCAGGTGTGCAGGCACCTGTGTGCATGGCAGGGTGCACGTGCATGGGTACATGGGTGTGCAAGGGCACTGGTGTGGGGGTGAGGATGTGAGTGAGAGCTTCTGGGTGTGCCACTAGTCAAGTTTGGGTCAAGTTTGGGTCAAGTTTGTGACAGGTGAGTGTGTAGACAAAAAAATGCCAGGACACGCAGGTCTGTGGTTGGACCCGAGGCTTAATGTGGGCATGTAGGCAAGAAGCAGATATAGGCAGATAAGTGTGCAGAGAGGTGGATATGCACAGGTGTGCAGGTGTTGTGCACGGCTGTATACACCTGATCCTGCTCATGTCTTGGTGTCTCCTGCCAGTTCGTCCAGAACCTGAGTGCCCTGCTGTACCTATCTTTGTAGGAAAAGCTTTACCAAAGCCCTCTTGGGCATTACACAAATTATTTTTAAGAGAGAAAGGGGAGGTAAGAGCTGTTTATCCTAGTGAAACACAGCTTGCTTGGAGGTGTCCAACAGAGTTGTTGAGCTGTTTGTCTGCTTGGAGAAAAATCTGGTGTGTGGTCTCTGTGCGTGTGTGTAGGAGAGAAAATCCATTTCCATGCAGCAAACAAACCCCAGCCCTACTTCCAGCTAAATAAGGGGCCCAGGAGTCACTGGCCACCTGCTTATCTCTGCAGCTTCCCAATAATCTGGGAGATAGCAAAAAGTCCTATGGAGCTAGCAGAATAAACCATGCAGTGGCACTTGCTGTGGACCCACATGTGCATGTAGCGTGTCCAGTAGCTGGATGCAGACACTGGGCAGAATTTCAAATCACATGCTGCTGAGTTTGTGTCAAGAGAAAAAAAAACCAACCATGCTGTACCAACACACAAGTTCTTGACTTGCACGGCAGACAAGGGTAGTATTACCCTGTACAAACCAAAACCCATCTCCTTTGGTATGAAGCTGCCTTATCAGTAATGCTCTGCCTTCTGGCTTGTGGGAAGCTGCAGCTGGGAATAGATTTTCCTGTCAGATGTTCCAAAAGGCAGTGCTATAGTTCAGTCACCTCTGGGACTGTGTCTCTCTGTGCCATGCCAATTCCATGCCTCCAGAGGGCAAAGTCAGATCGTGCTTCGCTTTGCACTTGCAGAGGATGGGGAATGAAAGAGGTGTGTGCTGAGGACGGATGGTGTGCTGAACAGCTGCTTTTGCCCTCCCTGCTGGTGTTGAAAATCCTTTCCCAAGTAAGCACTTTCCTTGGCAGAGCCCAAAGCAAACTGAAATGGATACCCAAACAGCATGTGCTGGCTCTTGTCCCTTCTCCTTTCCACATCACACAGCTTAAACTGTGGTGCCAATATTTGGGAGTGAAGTGTTAGTTGTATAACATAGTGCCCTGGAGACTACTCTCAATCTGACATTATCATAAAACACTTTAAAGTTTAAAAACATTTTCAAGCCTCTACTTTAGGAGCAGGAGTATGTCTTGTGTTGACCATTGGTGTCTCTTTTGTGTACCAGTTCCCATGGGGAGGGAGCTATGGAGAACATGAAACTCCAACTAACCCTCTTGGGTCTTAGACTGCAAATTTCCTCCATCTGTAAGTCAAGTGGTGCCTGTTGCTGGAGCAGAACAGTTGGTGTTGGTGTTTGTGTTTGTGTTTGTGAAGCATTGTTTTTTCTTTTGATTCCATCATGTTGCAGGAGGGACAAGAGTAAGTAAGATAGAAAACATCATAATGAAGTTCATAATACAATAAAAAATGCATGATATCTACATAATATTACCCATACAAAATCAATCACTTTCTTTTTATCTCTGCGACAAAGTTTAGACTTATCATTTTTTCTGGCTAAAGTTTTCAGCTCAGATCCTGCTGGCACTAAGGTCATTGACTGTGAGACCACAGCACTGCAGAATTGTTTCCTGCACAAGGGCTCTGTGCCTTGGCCTCTCAAGAGTGGAGTTTGTTAGTACTGGTAGCTGCTAGACAATTACCCCAACCAAAATCCCACCTGCTTGCGTCTCCAAGAGCAATTTCCACCCACGGAAAAAAATCCAGTTCGCTCCCCACACAGTTGCCCTGTTACAAACCACACTTCTGAGCTCCCTCCGGGGTAGACTACAGGGACACCGTGTTCTTCCTTAGTCCTATGCTCCTTCCAATTCAGCCAAACAAGGGAAGTGGACACTAAATGGTGTGGACAGCCCCTTCGTGCACATTGAGAGTTTTGTTTCTACATCAGAATTCCTCTCTGAGGTGAGGAAAAGTTTTGCCTCTGTGTCCCAGGAACTACAGCTCTGTATTTAATGTGCTCCAAGTTAAGGCTCTGGTAAAATCAAAATCCCAGATCATATTGGCTGAATGCCAATGAAGTGAGAGCACATACCCGTGGCATAGCCTCCACCCCAAGCTCAGCTGTATCTGTCATGGAATGGCAAGTTTGGGGTTTCTATTGGCTGTGTGTTTGGTGCCAGCACCTTGCAGTTTGAAGTGTGGAGAGCATCACAGCCAGACACCTCATGACATTTTGTGACAAGGTGCTTCACCCTACCTGCAGTTTGTGGTTAAGATCTGAGAGGGGACTATAAGACTGAACCTTTTGGAATAAGACAGGTGATGGCATGTCATCATTCATGCACTTTCAGAGCACATTCCACAAAGAAGTATCCAGAGTGATTGAGCTTAAGATACTTAGCACCTAACTGGAGTTCATGGGAGACAAGAACAAGGAGGTGATTGCATGGATTTTGGAAAGACTTTGTGGCTAGATTGTGGTGTGGGGACCAAGGTGAAACTTTTGAGGGAGAACTGATGTGCAGCTGGACATGGAGTATGACCACGTGGCAGAAGAGAGGCTGGAAAACAACATTCTACAAGTGTAGGATTGACAGGCATAGGAAAGTCGGGACAGATGGAGACGAGAGATCTCTGCAGCCAGGTCGTGGAACTTGGGGTTTATTGCGGAGGGCCTGGGTGCCGGGCCCTGCTGAGAGCTGCCAGCCACAGCTCGGAGCAGACCCAAGAGAAGAGAGGGGTAGAGAGGGTGAGAGGGTAAGAGAGTAAAAGCATAAGAGAGTAAAAGGGGTAAGAGCGTAAAAAGTAACAGCGAAGAGACAAGAGCTAAGAGAGCGAAGTTCCCGTTACAATACAATAAATCATCTTCTGTGTTGAATATTCTGATTCTCACTAACCAATCTAGTACAATATACAAATCCTACAGCATTTACATACAGACTATAAGAATCACTACATTACCATACTGTGCTACATTTTAAACCCTAAAAATTACTCTTTGGACCCCTTCTGCCAAGCTGTCAGGGTCTGCTCGGACCCTTGGACCTATCTGCAAGCAGAGGGTCTTGTTTCATCAAACAGGGATTACTTCTAGCCAGCCACACCATTGTTTTCCAGTTGTTCAGTAACTAAGGGATCTCCAATCTTGCTTTCATTTCAATCTCACTTATAGTTTCTAAATTCTCAAAATCTTTTGCCAGACAATCATATTTATAAGGCTTTCCTGTTTCATCTTCCCCAACATACAAGGATACTGCATATTTTCACCAGCTTTTCACTTGCCTTTTCTAGTTTCACTCTCCATCAGTGGCCTGGTTGTTTAGTGCTGTTTTTCCAAATTACTGCAGCTTCTCATCCATTTGTTGAGTTTTCAGTGGGAACTTGTGGCTGCAGGGGGGAAAGAATTTCTTGCTGAGAGAATCACATGGATATTGCCAGTGTCGTGTGGGAGACTTAAGTTAGCTGTTGAGGTCATTCTTCTGTAGACAAAACCAAAACATCATGGTGGCTTTAAAATAGGCCATGTCTCAGGCTAGAAATTGGGGCAAGAGCCATGGGCAGCCTGAGTCTCCATCCAGCATGGTTCCACTGAGGCAGGGCAGCCAGCATGCTTGCCTGACAGCAGCTCCCCTGGCTCTTGCGGGGAAACAGGACCTGCAGCAGATGAGCTGCCACAGGGGCATGGGCAGGGCAGGCTCTCTCAGAGCAGAACGCCACTTCTGAGCATTCCCTCAGGATGCTGGCCCACTCGCGAATTCGGTGTGAGCAGCGTGATGGCAGAAGGACTGGCCATAGAGCATGGGAGACGTGCAGGATTGGTGCTCTGGGGTGATGGTGGTGCTGAACTAGAGGGAGTGGCTGACACAGGGAGAGGCAAGGTCCCAGCCTAGAGGGACTTAGGGACCCCAGCCTGCGAGGCAAGGCCCCTCACCATGAATGGAAGGACGAATGGAAAGCTTAGGAAGCCCAGCAAAGGAGAGATGTGAGTGCAGCCCTGGGGCAGCAGTGCCCTGTGTACTGGTCCCAGACTCTGGGGAATGCTGTGCACGGGGCTGGACACCAGCCAGGAGTGACTCTTGCAGCAAGTGAGGTGCACTCCCGTACTGGGTTTCCTGAGGAGCACAGCCTGCCAGGCAAACTGAGGTCTGTGCCAGCACTCCTGAACAATTAAACATGGAAACTTGCTGTGCACACTGGCAGCGAGAGCCTCGTTCAGCCAAGACAAGGAGCCACAAAATGAAGGTATAGAAAACACCACATGTGATGTGGGCAGCAAGGAATGGTGAGGATGCAGCCTGAGCTGGATGGGCTGTGACACATTAATTTGTTCTCCTGATGAAGGAGAATTTAGAGTTGGTTTCCAAGAGAATAAGCTGCCCATTCTTGCCTTTGCATCACCAAGATATCACTGGGAGTAGTGCAGATCTGTCAGACGCTTCAAAAAGGAGGAGCTGGCTTTTTTTGGAAACATGCAAAGCAGAGTCAGGCTCTTCTATAAGCTGAAAATCACTTGCTATGCTTCTATGCTTTTTGGGTGGTGGTGGTTTTTTGGGGGGTTGGTTTTTTTTTTTTTTGGTGTGCAGATGTTAGGAAGTTTGCATGGCGCTTGCTCCCCTGAAGCCTGTGAATTTCAGCACCTCATGAAAATCATCCGGATGGGTATCTTTGAATAGCCGTCAGACACTGCTGGCATGGAAATAAGCTCTATTTTGCCTATCAAATGCCCTATTTGGGCAGTCATTCAACAGTTTTGAGAGGCTGAATCTCTGGCGGGGTGAACATCTCCTACTCAGTATTTCCCAGGTACCGTGTTGGGACCAGTCTGCTCTGCTGGCTCCCAACAGGTGTCACTGGCATCTGACAGAAAGAAGCTCCTGCTGAGGGCCCACAGGGTCAGAAAGACCCTGAGGCTTGCGCACAGGAAGTGTTACCTGATGACAAATGTTTTTAAGACAAATTAGTATTAGCCAGAGTAGTAATTCAGTCCTCTTCACAACTACTAGTGAAACCTGATGCTTGATAGAAAATGATAGAATACAGCAGTTTATAGGAAATTATTAGTTGCTTGCTTTGGAAGCTGGGAATTTATTATTTAAGTATAATTATTTAATTAATTGCCATGTTGTGAACAAAATCTATAGCAAATATCCTGCTTTACTTCAATAAGCCATGTGGAAAGAAGTATTATTTATTTTTTTTTCTTTGTTGCAGACAGAGCCACATTCTCCTGGAAAATGGCTTTTTCTAACTCACACGCATGGGATAGAGAGGGGACAGGTCATTTTGGCCGAACTGTGGAGTTAAGAGGTAAATTTCCCGGTGCAGGTGAGAGAAATTTCTTAGTACTCTTTGTTGGCAGTGTTCTTTATGTTGTTTCACCCAAACATGGGTACTTAAAACGGTAACAAATTGCAGAGTCAATGCCCTGTAATTTACTAACCAATTCCTCATCCCAAAACATGCTCTGCGCTGTGGTTCTTGCAGAGCACTCCCTCGTGGTCACAGATCGTGCATCAGCCAAGGAGGAAGATAAAGGGCAGAAAGGCGCTGGTAGATGGGAGCAGTGGGTTAAGACTGGGAGCACATGAAGGAGGGGAAAGAGAAGTACCGTGAAAAAGCAAGGAATGTGGAGAGGAAGGGTTGGGGGTGGAGCTGCAAGGATTTGAAGAGCCTTTAACGGAACACTAGTTGGGAGGTTTGTTTTGTGGAGCGAGTCTTGTACGGGTAGATGGAAAAAAGCTCACCTAAGTTTTGTCTTCTCTGGGTCTTGGGCTGGAATCAAATGCTCTCAGCATCACTTTAGTGCAAGCAAAAAACCATGAAAAGTAATGTCACAGCTTTCTAGGACTGGTCTACACAGACAACGAAAAGGTGCTTTTTTGTTCCTTACTTTTTTCTTTAAACTATGGTAAATCACTGAATAACCTGTATTACTGAGCATTATTAAACAAGACACTTGTTGCCCTTCCCTGGATACGGCAGCTTTTAGCACGCTTTGCGTGACTCGATAACAAAAATAAGCTGTTTCGGTAGGTGGGTTCAGGCACCCAGCCCTTTTGGAGGCATTGTGTGCCAAGTTTGTGACTCATCTTCGGGGCTTTCTGGGGAAGCCCTTAGCGACAGAACAGGTCAGAGGCAGAGCTGGGCGGCAAAGACTTCGGGTCAGAGCCTGGCGCAGGGACCGCAGGCAGAGACAAAGGCACAGCCACGGCGTGGCCCTGCGGCTGGAGGCAAAGCCCCCAGCTTGGAAATAGCTCCCAGTTAAAGCTGAGGAGCCTCTCTGGGCTCTTTCCTAGCCTTGGGCGCAGCCAGGGGGATGCCCAGGCTGGAGAGAGAGTGTGTGTGTGTGTGTGTGTGTGTGTGTGTGTGAAGCACTGATCGAGGAAAGAAAAATTGTACTTAAAAAGGCCAAAGAACTGCAGCATTGTGTGCGTGCGTGTGCCCGCGCCGTGCGGAGCGCACCGCTGGCCGTGAAACCACGCCTGGCACTGGGGCGAGCTGTGAGCGCCGCTGCTGCCACGGACGCATTCAGCTCGCGGGGGCTGATGCTGGGGATGGGGATCGGTAGGACTCAGTGCTACCCGACTGTAATTCCATGCCTGAGGCATGTAAATAGTCTTTATTTAGAAAACAAAGTGTAAAGTGGGGATAGTTCGAGCTTATTGGCGCTGGCAGACAAAATCTGAATACTTCTACAAAGAGCCCCTGTTTTTTCCCCCTAGGCCCCTTTGTTCTCATTGCCACTCTCTGACCCTTCAGCAATCACCATGGTAATTACCAAGTAATGCCCTATTTACAAGTACCTTCCGAAATCTGCTGGAGTTTTGCTTGAGCCTGTAACAAAAATGTCTCTCTCCAGATAAGAAAATTGATTATTTCTCAAATTCAAGCTTTTTTTTTTCCTTTTTTTTTTAAACAAGACTGAAAAGGCAGTGAATAGCTGGCGTCCTGCTGAAGTTAACAGATCTGTGGGGATTTACATTAGATAAGCATCTGCCCAGCGTTTGCCTGAGGCAATACCTCTAACCAAAAGTGCGTAGGTCGTGGTAATCTGGAGAGAAAGAAGTGTTTTTAAGTTTTGTGCTGCTAATAAAAATAGGCAAGGCACTGCATGTATTTCCGGGGACAGCAAAAAGTTTCAGAAATCTCTTTCTGACTTTGGACAGTCTGGTCTTGCTTGTTCTGTGACCAGTCCGTATTTCTCTCGTGAAGCCTGTGCCACGGGACAGGTTTCCCAAAGAGATGGTGAGATCTCTGTCTGTTGGACTTTTACTTAGTCATGGCCTGAACAAGCTGATCTAACTTCGGGTATAACCATACTTGAAATTTTTGTTGGAGAAGAAGCTTTGTCATTTCTGCAGTTCTCTCTGTTCGTGTGGTAAAAACACGATTTCCAGGGGTTTCTGTCAAATCAGCTCAAATTTTATCAATGATACAGAAAAGTGCTTTGAGAATACAAGCGAAGGACTTCTCAGAATGCCAGGTGCTTGAGAGGTTTTTTTTCTTCCGGCTGGCTCTGACAATTTTGCTTAGGCAGTTTGGGTATTCATATGCAAATGACAGATTTGCCGACCGTGCTGGACCAATATCAGAAAACGGATCTTCCAAGTGATTTAACAATCACTTCCAGGATCACTTAATGTTTCGGACCTGGAAAGGGAAGCAGAGTGGGAGCATTTTGAGACTTTTGAGATTCCCTTTCCTTCACTCTGCTGTGAGACAATGCAATATTTGCTCTGTGAGCGTGGCCTGATTTTGGCTGCGATCGAATTAATTTCTTCAATGGCGGCTAGTATGGGGCTATGTTTTGGATTTGTGCTGAAATAAGTGTTGGTAACACAGGAATGTTTTTGTTGCTGCTAAGTAGGGCCTACACAGAGCCCAAGCCTTTGCTGCTTCTCAGCCACCGGACCGGAGCGGGGGCTGGGGGTGCACACCGGGTTGGGAGGGGATGTAGCCTGGATATCTGATCCCAGCTGACCCAAGGGATATCCCGCAGCATATGGTGTCATACTCAGCATAAAAAGCTGGGGGAAGAAGGAGGAGGTGGGGGAGGTTAGGAGCAATGGTGTTTGTCTGCCCAAGGCCCCGTGAGGTGCGATGGGGCCCTGCTGTCCTGGAGATGGCAACACCTGCCTGCCCGTGGGAAACGGGAATGAATTCCTTGCTTTGCTTTGCTTGTGTGTGTGGCTTTTGCTTTACCTATTAAACAGTCTCTATCTCAGTTTTCTTGGTGTTGCTCTTCCAGTCCTCCCCCCATCCCACCGGGGGGAGTGAGTGAGCAGCTGCAGGGGACTCGGTTGCAGGCTGGGGTCAAGCCGCAACAGAGAGTGTCTTTATTACTTTAAAAAACAGAGAACAAGGGAGAGGTGGAAATTTAAATGTGAAAATAAGTTTTTAAAATACCGTTTCTTCCTGTAAGAAGTGTTTATTTACACGTGAACACAAGAAAAGTCTGAGAGCAGGGATGGGCTAAGATCTGCTTACAGTAAGCAAGCAGAGGACTCTCTGGTGTGGGCAAGGTGCTGAACACAGAGGGGCGGCCCTGACCTCTGCAGCCAGCAGAAAAAGGGGGCCTCCGCAAGGTACCTCACCCCTAAAGGCAGGAGATCACAGCCAGGCTCAGTGTAGCCTCTCTGAGCTCGGAGAGAAAACCTCATGGGCAGCACATGGTGCCCCCATTCCTTCCTGGGGCCCTCGCAGATCATTCAGGGGACACCGCCTCTGGGAAGCGGAGCAAACCAACATCCCTGCATGGACCACAGCAGCAAGGGGGAATAACCCAAAGGAGGGGGCATTGGTGCATCCCCTTGGCTGGAGCTGCCAGCCCAGTGCTGTCAGCAACGCTGTGCCATGCTGAGGGCTCAGCTCTGCTGGAGGGATATGGTGGCTCTTGCTGGTTCAGTGCAAATAGCTGAACACTGAAGGTAATTTCTTTCATTCACTTCTTACACATCCTGAATGGGGCGTGTCAGTTTTTTCTCCTCAGAACTAGTCTGGGCAACACTGAGAGAGGAGTTGAAAAATCGGAGCTAATCCTGCGGGAATGACTCATTCTGGCATAGGATTTGCAGAGCAAGATGAGAAGTTCAGGTAGTACAAAGGGAAATGGAGGCTGTAGTAAAACTCTGTGGTTTGGAGAACGACAGTTAAACTGCTACAAAGTCAAAGTTGGAAACCCCCTCCCAACAAATTGCTGAACTCAAAACCATGGCAATGTCTAGAGCAAGTCAATATTCAAGCGCACTAGTTGCAGAAACTGAGGCTCTTTCCCATGGAACCTGTAAGTTGGATTGCTAATTACCATGGGTCTGGAAAACAGTTACTATTATTTCATCATTATTTTTAATTAAACATAAATAAAGCAATGGCCATCCTTTTAAAGTTGGACTTTGAAATATTTTCTGCACTTTTTAGCCAGGATTATCCTGGCCAAGTCCAAACAGAGAAACACTGGAATTTTGACAAAGGTTTAAGGTAATTTTCAAACAGATTTCTCTGGCAAGGACAGTAGAGTAGTTGGGGTGAAAGCACAAGCCTAGCCTAAATATCTGGGCTCAGGAAGGAAGCTTCAGTTTCTGGAAGGTATAACAGACATAGGAATATTTTTCCCCTGTGTCCTTTCACAAGTCTTTTAATTACTTTAGCCTGCTTTTAACTACTTTAGCTTGCTTTCTTCACCTGGTATCTTTGCAGACACATCCACCAGATTGCAGACCAGTAGCTCAAGAGAGCACACCTCCAGAGTGCAGATTAGAGAAAGTAATTATTCCATTATTATTTAAAACATTTCACCTTGTAAAATAAAAACGTTGGTGTGGTTACAGCAAAAAGCTAAAGCATCAGGGAGCCACAGAGGACACTTTCCCATCCCAGCTGTAAGAATCCATCTATAACACAACTTCTCCCACTTATTAGTAGAGATATGACACTTGCAGGAGAAGTGCACTTAGATGAAAGTAAAGACTACGTTTTAAAGGAAGATATTTCTGAAATGCCCAGAACATTAGCAGAAGTGCGGCAGCCTTTCAGTAGATGGAGGTCCTGATCTACAAGCCAGGGTGGGAGAAAACCAGCTGACCTTTATGGGCAGGCCAGCTGAGACCTGCCAGACCCCTGGCAGGCAGTGAAATGCTTATGCCTGGCAGGCAGTGAAATGCTGGAGTCCCTGTAGCACGGCTTTGGCAGCAACAGCTTGTGTCTTGCTGCTCTTTAGACTTCGCTGTGGGCAGGTCTGAGCTGCAGAGGGGTCTCTGGAAGCAGCAAACGGGATCTCAAGGCTTGCTGGAGCTGTCAGCCCATCCAGGGCCCGGTGGGGCTGGGCC